TTAATTCTTTTTTTTTTTTTTAGTTTTCAACATTTACTTCCACAAGATTTTGAGTTCCAAAATTTCACCCTATCTTGCCCCTCCCCCCACCCCAAGATGGCACGCATTATGTAGTGAGTGTGTGGGGTTAGGGGATTTGTTTCCCTCCCCACCTCCACCCCCTCCCCAGGTGATCTAATCACAGAAATTAGGGAGCAGGTAAAAGTAGTAAGAAGGTATTAAACATGCTAATGCAATACGAAGATGTGTCTATTGATTACCTGCCAGCCCTTTAGGACAAATGAAAAGGCTCAGAATGAAATGGAAGTGCCCTAGTAACTGGCTGGGAAAAAACTGGCCACACCCTAGGTGGACCTTAAAATGTAAGGCAGTCAGCTCTGTGCAGAAATTTTTGAGAGGCAATATTTAAGGCAGGAAGCAACTTTAAGGACTGAGAACTCTGGCAACAGAGAAGAAAGCGGGCTATGAATTCATGAGAAAACTAGGCCAGGCAGCTAAGAGTTGAGCAGACCCGGGAAGCCCAGGTGAGTGACACCCCTAGCAGAGAGTAGTATGAGGACAACACAGGAAGAAAAAGGACATTGGGAGTCTACAGTGCCACCCCCACAGAAAGTCAGCTGTTGTGTCAGTTGGCTTAGGAAGTAGGTTTTCCCTTCTTTACACGGAGGCATGCATATATGGGAAGGGTATTGCTATAGCTAAGTGATGCTACCTTGAAACTCTCCTGTTTACCTAATATTTCTCGATAGCCAGAATTTAAGTAGCAGATTTCAAAGATACTACCTCCCCTGCCCCATTTGACTGTCAGACCATTTTTTCTCCCCCTTGGTTAAAATAGGAAACCCCATTGGGAGGCCTGGGCCCATGGCCTGCTCCATGCTACTTGTACTAAGGTCCATTTTGGAAAGCAGCAAAATCAAGGTAGATGGCAGAAGAGCCAGGCAGAACTATGAATGCCCTTACTCAGGAAGGTAGTGAAATGATGTATGTAAAGTGCTTTCTTTACAAATCTTAAAAGGCGACATGTCTCTCCCTGAACAGTTCCCACAAAAAAATATATTCTAGGCAGGGTCTCAGAGACTGCCTTCAGGGCTGACTTGTGATTACAATAGTATATATATATTCACTGGTCAATGGCGAAGGAAGTCAAATAGGGTCCATACAGTTAAGTTCATATTCGTTGATGTTGCTGTTCAGTTGATTCAGTTGTATCCAACTCTCTGTGATGCCATTTGGGGTTTTCATGGCAGAGATACCGGAATGGTTTGCCATTTCCTTCTCCAGCTCATTTTATAGGTGAGGAAACTGAGGTAAACAGGGTGAAGTGACTTGCCCAGGGTCACACAGCTAGTCAGTTTCTGAGGCCAGGTTTGAGTTCGGGAAGATGAGTCTTCCTGACTCCAGGCCTGGCACTCTGTCCACTGCAGCATCACCTAGCTACTGTTCATTGAGTTCACAGGTAATTTGAAAACTGATTCCTAGAGCCCTCTGTCCTTGTCTCTATCGTCCCACCACTGTCACTATGGAGGTGAAAGGGGGCTACACAACTAGCTCATAATTTATATGATCGCTACAAGACTAAGGGTCATTTAAAAAATTGTCTTTGATTCATAGGTTGCCATGACCAAAGAATTACTCTTCCAACGGCCAATGTACTAGTGATGTGTCTCTTAGCTACGTTGCTCCTTGGATAGCATACTGAAACCTGTCACCAGGACAATATGTGAAACCTTTCCAGCCAGAGCCTGTGTATCACTGGCAGAGCCTTCAAGAACCCAGGGTGGTCCCCTCCACAAAAACATACTCTGAGGTCTCATCATGCTGGGTAGATCACTGGGCAGGCAGGCTGAGAATTTTCCCACCGCCTCATTCTGATTGACTCCCCATGGGGACAGCCTCCTCTCGTCTACTTAGGTTCTTGTTATTCCAGAAATGGAGAAATGAAAAACAAAACCAAGAGAACTATTACTTCACACCATTTTTATTCTTCCCTCCCTGCTTCCATTTCCACCTGGCTTTTCTTTCACTGGAACTTGAACATTTGAAAGCTGGGTGTGTTTGTCGGAATCTGACAAAGAAGGTCTGGTAACAACTGGACCTGATTCTCCCCCTCGGCAACTTGACCTCTGTCATTATTTTCCTTCTCAGGTATTTTCTGAGGTTCTCCATCTTGCTCATTCAGATCGTGAAATTTTTTGTCTTTGGTGTTACGTCCTAAATTCTCACTTCTGTGTTTCTGAGCTAACGCTCTTGTTTTTCTTGTTACATCCATCCTGGACTCCGATCTCCTGCATTTCTTACGTCTCTTTTTCTTCCTGTCAATTTTCAAAACTAAAATAAAACATATTTGTGAGTCATTGATATATGAGTACAAACATACCCTACAGAACAAAATCATCTCCCATCAATCCTATGTATATATTAGAAATCCTACCCAGGCACGAATACAATGATTAGCATTATAGAATCCTTTGGAAGTAACTTCCCCCACTAATGTCCTTTCCCTTAATGTTATGTTTTGACTTCCGCTTCTGAGAGCCAAGATGTTGGAGTAAGAAGTAAGTCACTCTCACCCTCCCTAAGTAACCTCTGAAAGCCCAGACAATATTGCCCCAGGAAAAACCCTGGACAGCTGAACCAGAAGAAAGATGGGGTACAGCAGTCCACTAGCCCAGGTAGCTTGAGGGATTAATGGGAAAGGCCCCTCTTCAGCATACCAGGAAGAGATCCTGAAGCCCAGGTGGTGGAGCAGGCAAAAACCAACACCTGGACCTCTGAGTACCTCAGTGAGGGCGGGGGAACAGGTGGAAACCAGCTTGGAAAACCACCAGATGCCCCAGCATTCTACAGCAACCCAGTCTCCCAGTGCCTCCGCAAAACTAAGGGAAGCAGCGCTCCAAGGGGCCCCAGGTGGATAAACACCCTGCAACATCCATCTGAAAGAAACTGAAGAAAGCAAAAGGAAGGAAAGGCCCAGATGAGCAGGAAATCTCCAGGAGCCACACTACCCAATCCTACCCCTAGAGTTCCAGTGTTGCTGATTCCAGTCCAACACCAGGTAAGCTGCCAGAACCCTACAGCCTCCAACTGCCAACACTGGAGGCCCCAGCACACAAAGCCAGGGACCAGGCCCTGGGCTCCCAACACAAGAAGCTTGGGTCAGTGCCCTCTGCTCCCCAGCAGGAGAGCTTAATGTTATGTTTTCATGGAACCAGTTAATAACATTAGGTAGGGGGCTATTTCCAATATCATTGGAGGGTTCAAGAGTTCAGTTGAATCCCCTTTTCAGCCACTTTCCCTGACAATTTCAGGATCTGTCACATTTGGCGAATAGAATGCTATGAATTGGCTATACATAGACACAGCTCATCAAAACCCAGTGTATCCAGTGATTCATGAGACTATCACTCGAGCACATGGATGTTCAGGGAGATTTCCATTTTCTTACAAAAATTGAGGGACATAGAGAGGGAATGGCCCTGTGATTTCACTGGTGTAAGGTACTCCCACGTGAGAAAACTACCTCTGCCAATGAAGGCTGGCACTTTCTCTGCAAATTATAGTCTTAGAGAGTTTCTTGCAACACTGAAAGGTTGAGTACTTTGCTCATGGTCACAGAACCAGTATGCACTGGTGGCAAGATCTATATACCTATCACATCATTTCAATGAGTTGAGAATATAATTTTTATACTAGCCATCCAGAACACAGACACTAATACACCAACACCAGAGGATTACATAGCACTGGAAAAAGACTGAGACACATAGCCAGCAAGAACAAGAGTAAGGTCCGTGTTCCTTAAAGCCAGTGGACATCAGCAGGCAAACAGAGCCAGAAAGCACGTGTTTCCAGGAGCAAAAAGGAGGAGAGACCAGGACTCAGCAATTGCCTCCCCTCCCATCTGCCTGTTTCACCCTTCCCCTCCCCAACTCCCAACTCTGTCTGTCTTCAGAGAAAGATAGTATTCTGCACATTAAATGCCTCTTCCACATGACAGCCCCTCAAATACTTGAATACAATTCTCATGTTTCCTCGAAGTCTTCTCTTCTCCATCTCTAAACAACCCCGGTTGCTTCAACTGATGCTCAAATAGCAATATGTCAAGGCTGTGCTGAACCTCCTCTGGTTGTGTATCAGCTTATCAATATCTTTTATAACTGTAATAACAGCTTCATTTGGAAATGCTGCTTTTTTTAAGGGACAGGCCAATTTTGGATCTAGTTCCTGTCCTGGGAGCAACGGAAAACGGTCCCCCCCCCCCACATCTAGCCAATCACAGGGTCCATCATGTCCCCTTTTTAGCGGGAGCCAGGAAGGGGGGGGTAGGGATAAATGTTAAGATCTCACATCAACAAATCCAACAAACATTTATCAAAGGCCTGACGTAGAGGGGAGTTATGTTAGGAGGTTCTTGATAATATGCCTTTAGATCAGTTTAACCTTTTTTTGGTGGTATGGACTCCTTTGGCCATCTAGTAAAGTCTACAGACCCCTTCTCAGAATCATGTTTTTAAATCAGTGAAGGAGTCAGATCTCACAGGTTTTGACATGAAATACTGATGGTTTTTTTTTCCATTTTCATACTCCCTATTCTATCAATGCACCCCAAGTTAAGAAACCCTGTTTTAGGTGAAGAATCAAACATTAAGGTGGTAAACAAAAGGAAATTTGAGGTAATGATGAAAACAAATTGTTCGATGATGAAAATGACATTAAAAAGGTTAATTTCTTATCCTATGAACTCTAAAAGCACACCAGGAACAAAGCATTTACCTAGGTTATTAATTCAGTGTTAATAAAAGCTGGATTTAAATACAGCATTTTAAGGTTTGCAAAGTACTTTTTAAAAATGATATTTTGTTTTTTCCAATTACACATAAAAACAATTTTTAACATTTTGTTTTTTAAAATTTTGAGTTCCAAATTCTCTCTCTCCCCACCTTCCCTACCTTCTCCCTGAGGTGGTAAGCAATTTGATATTGCACAGTACTTTAAAGACATTATTGTCTCTGAACCTTACAATATTTCCATTAGGTGGGCATTGCAGGTTATTATTATTATATTATTATGATATGATGATGATTATAATATAATGATTATTATTCCTATTTTGCAGATAAGGAAAATGAGGCTCACAGAGATTAAGTGATTTGCCTGTGTAAACACAGCTGGTACATGTAAGAGGCAAGACTCAAATCCAGGTCTTCCTGGCTCCAGGTCAGATACCCTTTCCACTAAGCCACACTGTCCAGGGTAGTCTACCACACTAACATGTACCACACAACTAGATAGTTTCTGTCCCCCATTCTACTTGTCCCTTTCTTTCTATGTGTATTTGTGTGTATTTGTGTGTGTGTGTGTGTGTGTGTGTTACTGTTGTTCAGTTGTGTCTGACTCTGTGATTCCATTTGGGCTTTTCTTAGCAAAGATACTGCAGTGGTTTGCCATTTCCTTTTCTAACTCATTTTACAGATGAGGAAACAGAGGCAAACAGGGTGGAGTGACTTGCTCAGGGTCACACAGCTAGTGAGTGTCTGAGGCCAGATTTGAACTCAGGGAGATAAGTCTTCCTGACTCCAGGCCTGGCATCCTATCCACTGCAGCGCCACCTAGCTGTCCCTCTGTTTCCTCTACCTTTTCTAGATGTTTCAGAAAGTAATCCTGGGTCGTATGAAAGGCCTTGGTTGCCTCAGGAGAAGGGGGGACAATTTTGGGAGAGTTGGCTCTTCCCCTTCATCCTCTAGAACCAGGAGGAGGTGCCAGCACAAGAAGACCTTTCCAACTCTGAAATTCTGAGCTTTTGTGATCACGTGCCTACGTGGGGTCAGAGAACAAGAGAATACAAAAGAAACCTTTGTCGAGGTGAGAGCCAGATTGTCTAATGATGGGGTAAAAGCCAGGTTTCCCCTCCCTTGGCAGATCTGAGCAGGCCACGTAGAAAGCAGAAAAAGAGCATAGGCCTGGGGCAGCTAGGTGGCGCAGTGGATAGAGCACCGGCCCTAAAGTCAGGAGGACCTAAGTTCAAATCTGGCCTCAGACCAAACACTTGGCACTTACTAGCTGTGTGACCCTGGGCAAGTCACTTAACCCCACCTGCCTAAAAAAAAAAAGTTCCTCTCATTATGGAAAATGCTATCCACACCCAAAGAAAGAACTACGGAGTTTGAATACAGATCAAAGCATACTATTTGCTATTTATTTTTTCTTCTGTTGTGTTTTGTTTCCTCTTTCTGGTGGTTCCTTCTATTGGTTCTAATTCTTACTTACAACATCACTAATGTGAAAATATGTTTAATAGGAACATATACGTATATCCTATATCAGATTGCTCGCCGTCTTGGGGAGGGAGGTGGAGAAAAATTTAAAACTCAAAAGCTTATGGAAGTGATTGTTGATAATTCAAAATAAATTAAAATTTTTTTTAAAAATTGAAAAAAAAAAAAGAGTGCATGCCTTAAAGTTAAAGGTCCTGGGTTCTAGTTCATATTTGCCACTAACTCACTACGAGTCACTAGGCAGTGCTCACTGGCAGTAGATTGAAATAGCCAAGCACTCCAACACCATCAAGGACCTGCAGGGTAGTGAGAAGGGGCCACCCTTGAGAGGGACCCCAGAGATTCCACTTAGAAATCTGAATCGAGGTGTGACCTTAGAGGTGAAGCTTTCCTGTCCTTTGATTCCACTTTTTTCTAGGCTCTGATTTTCCTTAGTTTTGCTTTGTTAAGCAAATGGATCTTTTACATAAACTGTACCTGAATGGAGTAATGTCTTGTATACTTTTTCCTCTTCTGCGGTCTCAGGAAATTTTTCCTTTTGCTTCTTCTTGTCAAGTTCCTTTACTGGTTTTAATGGTATAAGCTCCTCAGCAAGACTGTCAAGTCCTGTGGTTTCCTCACGCTTCATGTTGGTACTAGAGGAAAAGAACACACGGAAAAGCATTTCAACAATAAAGCTTTGTCATTTGACTACCAATTGATGTCCTTTATATGTGTGTGTATGTATATATATACATACATGCTGTTGACTTAGAAATGTGGGAGAACATCTTATAAACAAGGAATCCACATTAGAAGAACAAACTCTTAATCAACTCTCAGGGATCTCAGATAAGAGAGCCAAGCAGTGGCACAGATAATACCAAAAGAGCAGACAAGATACTAGTTTTGGCTTTGTAGCACAATATGGGATGTTTCACGTTTTTTTTCCCCCCATCAAGAGATTTCCCTTCCTGCTTAAGGGAAGATTTAAGCTAAAACTCAAGATTGTATTTGGTCTATAATAATATGCTGCAAATGGAGAGTTGGGGAGGGAAATCTCTGAAGAATATTGATTGGCAAGAGGTGGTTAGCTTTGTATTAACAGTTGAACAGACTGACACAATGATCAATTATGATTATAGATGATAATGACAAAGAATGCTACCAACCTCCTGACAGAGAGGTGATGGAGTAACATGTGGAATCAGACACACGTTATGGGACATGGCCAACTTGGGAATTTGTTTTGTTTAACTATGTTTATTTGCTACAAGGGTTTTCCTTCCCTTCCCTTTCTTTCTTTTTTTCTTCTTTTGAAATGGGGAGGTAGGAGGGAGAAAAATGCTTGATAACCAAAAACAATTAAAATTAATCAATCAGGGAGAACATGCTATAAATATGGATAATTCATTTGTGGATAATAGAGTTAATGTTTAGTTAGTCTTAATGGCCCACATGTCTATATCCCTTTCATCATAACAACTCTGTTAATCAGGGAGTACTAGCATCTCCATTTTGCACATGCAGCAAATGAGGCCCAAAGAGGTAACGTGCCCTGTGTACAGCTAATAAGCACTGGAGCAGGAGTTTGAACCCAGGACGCTTTCTACTATCTCTTGCTGCCTGCTCAGAGTTCCAATCTTTTATTTCAATGTGCCACTGCTATGGCAAGAGTAAGGGTCTTGGAAGATTGGGTAGACCCTCTGTGTCAAAATTACGAATGGACGTGGACAAGAGTTCCACAGGATGATCAGGGATGAACCAGTTGCAGCGGACATTACTGGAGGCAGTACACTGAACATCTTGTCTTCAAAGAGATCACAGATGTGCTGGAGTACTTGAGAAAATTTTCTGCTACCATTCACTTGCGTCAACGCAGACAAACAGAAAATTGTCCACTTGTTTAGTGAAATGTTTCACTGCAAGACTGTGTATGTTATTCTTCGTTCACCACTCATTACTGTCTCTGTGGTTAACAGTCTCCACTTACCTTGGCCCTACCTCACTCACTCCAAGTTGCCTATCCTTTCCACTCTGGAATTCCCATTCCATAGTGAACAAACTGTTCTTTGGCCTGGATCTCTCTTTTTTCCTCTCCAGGGCATCTTCCTCCTTCAGAGTATTTTTTTTTTAAGTTTTATTTATAGGTTTTGTTTTTGTTTTTTTTTACAGTATATACTTTTACAGATGACATCAACTTCATGAAAGTTCTCTTGTAATAAAGTAAGACAGTTAAGTAAAACCAATGATACAGCGACTTCATCTGAAAGTGAATGCACATTCCACCTCTGAAGTAACCCAACCTATTTTTTTAAATTAACAGAAATCTCTAAGTTTTTCATAGGACTCCATCACATTCATATACTGCAACTTCTTCAGCTATGCCTCAATCAGTGGGCATCCCCTTAGTTTCCATGTATTTTTGCTTCCACAAAAGAGCTATTATAAACAATTTTGAACATATAGGACCGTTTCCTGTTTCTTTTGGGTACAAGCCTAGCGGTAGTATAATTGGGTCGAAGGCCATGCACCGTTTAGTAACTAATCCCAAATTGCTTTCCAGAATGGTTGTATGCATTCACACTGGACTTCTTTCTCTCATACTCCTTCCATCTTTTTGCTCTTCTGGCTCCCCTCAGATGACACAATATCCACGGCCATCCTCTCTAGCACTGGCTGCAACTTCATTTTTATCCCTAAACACACTGGTTTGGGAGGGGGAGTCAGAATACTCCTTGCCCTCTACTGCCTCTTTCAGATCCTTATGGCCATCACTCAGCAACCTTTCCTCCTTTGAAGTTCACTGGTTTAAAATGTTCTACTTTATTCAAATTACGGTGGCAATTGTAAACCAACCTCCACATTGTCCTCCCTTCTTCCTTAAAAGTTTAGCACCTGTACTGCTGTCTTCCTTTCCTCCTATCCATGTTGCTACTCCTTCAAACTCTTTAACCTCCCAATTCCTCAATCTTGTTAAATATTACAACCTACTCCTTCATCCACACACAGGGATGGTCACACCCTGAGCCTCACAATTACCTACAAGTGTTCTAATTCCTTGATCAAAAACTCTGACATTATTGTATATCAGGGGTTCTTAACCTGGGGCCTGTGAACTTGTTTTTTTCATATTTCAATAACTGTATTTTTTTTTGGTGATCCTATGTATTTTATTTTAGCACTTAAAACATTCTGAGAAGGGGCCCAGAGGTTTTACCAGTCTGCTAGTTGGGTGCAAGGCACAAAAAAGGTTAAGAACCCTTGCTCTGTATAATTATAACTTTCTATCATTTCATCTCTCCCCATGTCTCATTTCTCCTAAACCTATTTGTGGTCCTCTACAAATCTAAAGATTTCCAATCCTGTGTCCCTCAGTGGTCTCTTAGGCCATTTTATTCCTTCCCTGACTTTACTTTATCTTCTCAATCTTGACTGTAGTTAACCAATTCAATTCCACGTTATTTACTCTCAAATCTCTCCCCCACCCCACCTTGTTCTGTCATCAATCATGCCTTGCCAAGCCCCAGGCCTGGATTGCTCCCACCATCTACTTCCTCTTCTCTTACTCACATACTGCTGATTAGAACTGAAGGAAGTCACACATTCATGCTAAAAATTCATGTTGCCCAACTTCAACAGGGTCTTCGCTACAGAAAGGCAATCCTTTTATTTCTCTCCAATTGATTCCCTATTTCATTACCACAAAATCTCACCCAAACTTTCTCTCCTTTCCTCAAGCTTCCCATAGCTCCTTCTCCTTCATCCCTTTCAGCTAAGGACCTTGCTTCTTATTTTACTGAGAAAATTGAGGCCATTCAAAGTGAACTCTCCCTTCTCCCATTCTATTTCAAAACTCCCTAACATCATCTACTAGACTCTCCTCCTTTTCCCAAGTCTCTGACAAAGAAATGGCCTTTCTCCTTGCCAAGGTCAACTCCTCTACACGTATGCTTGATCCCATTCCCTCCCGTTTTCTCCAGCAGACTACATCTTCAATCATCCCCTGTCTCTCTACAATCTTTAATCTTTCCCTTTCAACTGGCTGCTTTTCCTCCTGCCTTCAAATAGATCTAAATCATTCCCATCCACCCCCTCCACAAAAAAAAAAAACCTTCACCAGACCCTGTTGTTGAGTCCATTCTGATTCTTCATAACCCGATTTGGGGTTTTCTTGGCAGAGATACTGGAGTGGTTTGCTATTTCCTTCTCCAGCTCATTTTACAGATCACGAAATTGAGTCACACAGGGTAAAGTGACTTGCCCAGGGACACACAGCTAGTAAGTGTCTGAGGCCAGATTTGAACTCAGGAAGATGAGTTTTCTTGACTCCGGGCCCCAAGCTCTATCCGCTGCAGCACCACCTAGCTGTCCCCCGAATCACATGGCTAGCAAAAAGCAAAGTCAGCTCTAGAACCCAGGAGTCCAGATCTCCTGCCACACTCTCTGCTATAAAGTGAACAACTATATTTGTAAATATAGTACAGGTGAGGTGGGGCAAAATGCCTTTTAAAAATTTATCCAAGGAGTAAAACGTATACTGCTACACTTAAAGAAAATTACTTTGGCAGCAGTGTATTAGATAGACAAGAATTGGTAAAGATTTGAGGTGAGGAGACCAATTAGGAGGCTGTTGCCATAATCTAGACCACAGGTGATGAAAGCCTGAACAAAAGTGGTGGCTTTGTGATTGGAGAAAAGGGGTCATCCGTGAAAGATGTTATGGAGATGGAAACAGCAAGATGTGGCAACTGATTGGATAAGTGGGTCTGGGTTTGAGTGAGGAATCTAAGATAACATTGACCTTGCAAACTTGGGAGGCTAGAAGAATGGTAATGCCTTCCAGAGAAATAAGGGTTTACAGAGGAAGGTAATGAGTTCTCTTTTGGACATGCTGAGTTTGAAATTTCTCTGCGATGTACAGTTTGAAACGTCTAATAGGCAACTAGTGGTGTGGGATGGAAGCTTGGGGGAGTGGCTGGTGTTGGGTATATAGATACCGGAGCCATCTGCATGGAGCTGTTAATTAAACTGTTAACTAGATGAGCATGAGGGGCTGGTAAGTGGTGCTGCAGTAGGTAAAGCACTGGACCTGGAGTCAGGAAGACCTGAGTTCAAATATGACCTCAGACACTTGCTAGCTGTGTGACCCTGGGCAAGTCAATGAACCTCTGCTTGCCTCAGTTTCCTCATCTGTAAAATGAGCTGGAGAAGGAAATGGCAAACCACTTCAGTATCTCTGGCCAGAAAATGCCAAATGGGGTC